TGTGTCCCCCCCACCCCCACCCCTGTCTCCTGGACGAACGTCCTCTTTCTCACTGCCCCTCCACGTGACCAAGCAGGATGTCCTTCTCCCAGGACGGGTCTCTCCTGACCACAGGTCCAAAGTATGCAAGATGAGGTCTTGCCATCCTTGTCTCTAAGGAGCACTCTGGCCCTACTTCTTCCAAGACAGATTGGTTTGTCCTGTTGGCGGTCCCCACACGTTTACTGTTCTTCACCAGCACCACATCCATCGACTCTTCCGCAGTCTTCCAACTTTCTTGTGCACAGGAGGCGATCGAAAATCCCATGGCTCGGGGTTCTACTCAGGCACAGAAAGAATGCCGAGGCTCCGATGGGGGGCACAGCATCGGGGCACAGCACTCGAGAGGCGAGTGAAAGAGGCCAGACACAAAAGCCCAGGGATTTTCTTGGTTCTGCTTCCATTAGTATCGAAGAGCCAAGACACTGCTCTGCGGACTAAGGCGCGCCTGAACGAAGCCTGGTATTTTCCATCTCCTCATATAGATACATGAGAGCCGGAGGAGGATGAAGGGAGATTGGGGAAGAACGGGTGTCTGCCCTTGAATTACGGTGTTGGCAAAGAATGCTGACATGGGAGCGACAGAGGAACTCACCTGCCCAACATGGGGCAACTGGTGGAGAATTGGCTAAAGAGTCCTAGGGAGTCCAAAGGGAGGCAGCCCGCCCAGAAGGATCAACATCCAGTTGTCTTGGGTGAGCCAACGCGATGCATCCTGGGTCATTCTGAGGCTGGTAGGGTTGCTGTGTTTCCAGAACATTCTCTGAGGTCCCTCAACCAGCACTCACATGTTCCCCACCCGCTGGGGTTGGGGAAACCCTCTGACCTGTGCAGACCAATGCCCAGCCCCCTGGCCATCCCAGGAACCCACTCCCTGAACAGCCTGCCTCTCTGCCTGCTCTTCTTGGGCCTTAGTCGTACTCACCTGCCAGGCTCCCAGGGGCACCTGCTGGGCTGCCATCCTTCTGACCAGAGTGGACAGCTGGTCCCGGCTCAGCTGACCAGCTGGCTGACACCAGAAGTCACGCAGGAGGGAGGCGTTGGCACTGGGCATGAAGGAGGTGGGCATGAGCCTACAGGGTCAGGGTCCACCAGTACATGATAGCTGAGAAGCCCCTCTCACTCACTCACTCACTCATTCATTCACTCACTCACTTATTCATTCATTCACTCATTCATTTACTCACTCACTCATTCACTCCCTCTCATCAGCCCTCTATCCCTCCCTTCCGGAGCACCAGCCGGCTCCAAGCTCTGAGCTACTGCAGGACTCAGACACAGGCCCTGCTATGCTCTCACTCACTCATTCATTCATCCATTCAATCCTTTCCAAGGCCCAGTCCCCGATGGCTCTGGACTCCTCCAGCCGGGCTCCAGGGGCCCTGGACAGCTGCTATGACCAGGGAAGCCTGCGTGGGATTTGGGGAGTTCTCGTGGAGCCTAGGAGGCCAGGCCAGAGTCCCCGCTGGACAAAAATTGACAGTCTGAAGGAGAGGTGGTGAGCCTGGTCATCTTCTGTTGGGGACAGGGAGCGTGACCACAGGCAAGACTCCTGCTGGGCCCTCGCCTGCCTTCCCTGTCCCCTCTAGCATGTGGGTTGGGTACTGAGGGAGGAACCCCCTGCCCAGCAGTACTCACCTGGCCCACTGGCCAGCCCCATCGCCGTCCAGCTTGTCCTGGGTCTCAGGGCTTGAGCAGTGTGCTGTGAGAGACACCAGGAGGGCAAGGCCTGGGCCGGCCAGGACGCCTGCAACAGAAGAGTCAGTAAGTGCAGAGAGCCCCCACCATGGCATTGTAGCCACTGGCAGCCCTCGGGTCACCCTGTGTCAGAGGGGGCCTTGGGAGTGGACATATGAGTACAAACTCCGTCTCCCCACAACTCATCTCTGAAGTCTCTGGGCCTCCCATCAGAACTGGGGTTCCTGGCACTGTCACCAGGAGCCCTGGTGGGTAGCGCTGGACTGATAGCCTAAGGGTCGGCAGTTCAAATCCACCAGCCGCTCTGAGGAAGAAGGCCGTCTGCTTCTGTGGAGATGGCAGCCTGGGGCAGGGGGCAGGGGGCAGCTCTACTTTGTCCTACAGGGTCACTGTGGGTCAGAACCCACTCAACGGTAACGTTGGGTTTGGCTCACTTCCCTGCCTTAGAAACCCAGGCAAGAAGTGGGGCTGGGGTCCCCTCTTTCCACACCCCCACTTAATGAGGTCTCTTCTGCAGCAGCAGGAGGGCTCCAGGGGTGGGGACCCCACACGGCCCTGCCCACCATCCCCGCACACGGTGGGGTGCTCTGTCCCCTGAGGAGCTGCATCACCAGCAGCTGGCACCCCCCACCCCGCTCCCCAGGGCCCCAGCCACACAGGGTCTTCCTCAGTGAGAGGTCTCACCGGCCCAGGGGCCCATGTCCACTCAGCCAGCGAAGGTTGTCCTGCCCGCAACGTCCCGGGGGGTGGGGGAGGCTCGAGGTCACAGGCAGCAACAGGGTCGTGGATGTGCTGTGGGTGAGTGGAGGGCGTGATCAGGCGCCCCCCACTCCCGTTAACCACAGGGCTGGGCGGGGGACACTTCCTGCTCACCGGGCTCCAGCAGTTCTCTCCCTCTCCTCAGGAAGAAGAGCCTGACCACAGACAACAAGATGTTGTTCCCAAACAAAAGGGAGCAGCCGGAGGGAGGGGGCCAGTGAGCTGGAGCCTTCCTTATCTCAGGTCGGGGCTCTGGGGACCCAGCGGCTGTAGCGCCTCCAATTAAGGTGACAAACAGACGCACAGGAGGCAGCGGCTGCTGTCCCTGTAACCCCACAAGGCGCCTTAGCGGGAGGCCAGGCGTCTCCCCCGCCCGCCCGCCCGCCTGCCCATGGTGGTGTTTCTCCCTGTGTGCTGCTCAGGATGGCCGGCGGGGCAGACCCTATGGCCCCTCTGGGGCTCCACTCAGACACCCAGCTCAGGACAGGACCTGGCCCCAGGTGACGGCGCTGCCTCAGCCTCCTGGGCGGACAGGACACACAAACCAGCACTCAGAGGCTGGGGGACAAGTGTCCAGGGAGCGCGCGGCCAGCTTTGGGCCTCCTGACCCTCTGGAAATGGCCCAGCAGGCAGACCGTGGGGCTGTCTCTTCCCAATCCCAGCAGGGGACACATCTGAAGTCCACTCACCCTCTCACCTGCGGCTAGAAGTACCGTCAGCAGATGGTGGGAGGTTGGCGACCCCAGCTGTCTGGGGAGCAGGCTCAACCTGCTTTGAAGAGTCCTGAGGTACAGGGGCCTGATGGGAGGGATGCTTGGGGCTCTCCACACTCCTCCATGTCCTGCCCGCAGGTGGCACGCCACAGCCCCGCGCCCGCCGCCCACTCCTGAGAAGGAGCTGCTTCAGGGCGGGGACTTGGCACTGTGGTGCTGCCCCCGGGGGCCCCAGGCACGGCGGGCACCTGCTCCCAGCCCTGGGGGAGCTGGTGCTGAGCTCACGGCTGGCAGCCGCCCAGCTGTCCACGCACCGGGCCTGGGGGCATGTGCAGGGCTGGTCAGCCTGGTGTCCTTGGGACATGGCCACACCTGCAGGCCAGACACAATGCCTGCCTGTGGGTGGAAATGAGGCCCGCTTCCACCCTGAGCCCTGAGGCATGTTACTGTGTGCCAACGGGCATCACTGTACCCGGTGTGTGTTCTCTATCCTCTGCTGGGGACCTCCTTACTCTCTGCCGCATCCAATTCCCACACCCACCCAGGGTGTTGCCTACTACCACTGGGCTGCCTGGGCTCAGGGCACAGCCAGGGAACCGAGAGGTACAGAGAGAGGAGGAATGGCTGGGTCTAGTGCCTGGATGGGCAGAGAAGCTGTGTGTCCAGGAGGTGGGCAAGGATCCTTGGACACAGCGGGAAGAGCTAGGCAAGGTGGGCAGTCTTCTCCAAGGGGGCCCAGTGCTCAGGTCAGCTGCCCAGCCGACCCTCCATCCTGCTTCCCCTCTCTCCATCCACCAGCCAACCTTGTCTGTCTGCCCTTCCCCCTGCTCTGGGCACTCAATCCCTCCTTCAAGGTTGACCAGCCCAGCATGCCCACCTCTGGGCTTCCTGATGGCCGCCCAGTGCCAGACAGCCTGGCTGTTCCACCCACAGAACAGGGAGCAGGGTCTTTCTCACAGACCCTAGCCCTTGGAGAGCCACCTGGCACCTGGGGCAGACAGAGGAGGTGTCTCAGTGCTTCTGCTCCCCGGACTTTCCCCTGCTGCTTCTGGGGCTTCCCCATTCCCCTGCAGCTTCCTGGAACCCAGGGTGGGCGCAGTGATGTGGGGACAGCGCTTAGCTTTATCGGGGGATGGAGGCCCCTTCTCCAGCCAGGGAAAAGGCAACTACAAGAGCAAGGAGCAGCCTGCCCAGCCCACAGCTGGGTGCACAGGGGGCCTGAGGCTGTCCCCCAGGGTGTGGGGAGGGACTGGGTTCCAGAGGGCCTGAGGCTGTCCCCACAGTGGCTGTGGAGTGGCCCAGTGCAAAGGGGGCACAAGACTGTCCCTTCCACCCCAGTGTGTGGGGAGTGGCTGGGAGCATGGAGGGTGTGAGGATGTTGCTCCCAGCAGGTGGGGAGTAGCTTGGTTCATGTGGGGCCCAAGGCTGTCCTCTCAGTGTGTGGGGAGTGGCCTTGGGGGCACTAGCTGTCTGAGGGAGCCCCTCAGCACTGGCCAGCCCTGGTTTTAGGCCACTTCGGGGACGTGATGGGATAGGCCTGCCTGAGTCCAGGTGGAGGGGCTTCAGCGAGCACCCAGTAGTCCTGGCTCAGCCACAGAGCCCATGGACCCAGGCCTGTGGCGAGTGCCAGCTGCTGGGAACAGCTGAGCTTGTGCCCTTAGTCAGGGGACGGCGGGCCAGCGCCCCGTGTGGCAGGGACAGGCATGACGACCCGCAGCGGGGTTGCTGAGGGCGGGGCCGACGTCGGGGCATCTCATTTCCTCTCGCCGCTCTCACCGGCGCCGCGCCCGCGTGCTTGTGCGTTGGCCCACCGGGTTGCAGAAGCGCGCTTTTGCGGCTGTTGCTCTGGGCAGGCAGGAGGCTAGGGGTGGCTGGTCTGGGAATATGGCCGGCAGTGTGCGGTGGACGGGGTCAGCTCCTTTGAGAACTGGGAGGCGGAGTTTGTGGAGGCAGGGTGGGCAAGAAGGGTCCCACCGCGGGGTTGCTACTGTGGGTGGGGTATCCTGTGGCCTCTGACCCACTAACATCCCCCCTTCACAGGTGGGAAAACTGAGGCACAGGGGCCCACCCTGAGGGGGTATGCCATCTGACCCTAGGCCTCTGTTGTGGCTCCAGTGTGGCCTATCCCGCCACCCCTCTGAGACACTGGGGGTCTGGCAGCAAAGTGGGGGGTGACTCTGAGGGTCCTGAAGCTGGATGCTTTCAGCTGGGAGGTCTCTGCCCTCCCCAGAGCTGTGACTGGAGGATGTCCCGTACATAGCCAGGGCTGTCAGCAGCAGGCACCCCTAGGTGGCCAGGCATCTCTGGCAGAGGCCTGCAGGTTCAGGAGGGCGTGTGTGGACCATGTCCCCAGCAGCCCCTGGGCCAGAACATTAGACACATTCTCCAGCGCTCTCAGTGAGTTTCTTTAATCCCCGGAGCTCAGCTGCGGTTGGCACATTACAGGAAGACAGGGACGGAGTCTGGCGGGCTGGGTGGGAGTGGGCAGAGCTGGCAGCAGGCTGGGCCTCCGAAGGCTCCCAGGGGAGCAGCAGCCCCGTGGTGATGTGCAGTGGGGTGGGGAGCAGCTGGGGGCCCAGGCAGAGCCCGAGGAAGCAAAGGCACAGAGCAGGGCCAGTCGGTAGGCAGGGCCTGAGGTGGTGGGAGGGGCAGCCCAAAACAAGTGGCTCCCAAGGGGCAGGTGCGGTGGTAGCTGGGGACCTGGGCCCACTGTACCCTGTCTTGCTGGGTGGCCATGGGATCAGTCCCAGTTCTGCCCTGTCTGAGTCCAGGGCCCTGGGGTAGGGACTCAGGCAGCCATAAGACTCATTTCTCCTGCCGGCCATCCCCTGGCAGGGCTCAGCCCTGTCTGTGATGGGCAGCTGGCAGCTACCTGCATGTCCTCTGGGGTAGCCACCTGCCTTCTTGGGATGGGTCCCAGCTGCCACCACCCTGACTGGCTGCCTGCTCAGCTGTCTGGCTCCAGTGCCCACTCCAATAGCCACTGCAGGCACGATGCCCGTTGGGCTTCCGTCTCAGGGGCTGTAGGGCGGGTCGCCTCAGGGCTGTGGGGGCGGGGACCACTGGCCGCTGGTTCAGGATCCGGCGCTGCCCGCAGGGCCAGGATGAGCTGGTTGAGGGGGCGCACAAGGGTGTGTGGGCTCCAGCACGCATCCAGCGCGGGCACGAAGGGGTCGGGTGTGCAGGCCTCCACACGCTCTACGTCGGTGGGCACCCGCAGGTACAGTGCATGCAGCATCATCCGGAAGGGCTGCTCCTCCCAGCCGCCGCCCCGTCCGTAGGTCAAGTCACCCACCACTGGGTGGCCCTGGGCGCTGCAGTGCACGCGAAGTTGGTGGGTCCGCCCTGCAGTGAGGGGCAAGTCAGTGGAGCCTCCACAGGTGCCCCCTCCCAAATAGACACCCCAGAAAAGGCACTTTCCAACCCCTCCACAGGGAGAGGGTCAGATCCCAGACAGGAAGACCCCAGTGGGCAAGAAGACCCCCAACCCCATGATTCATTGATAGCAACGGCGGCCGGGCTGCCCACCACCGTTTCCTCCCAGGTGCAGGCTACCACTTTAACCAGTGCGACACCAGGCCTCCTTTCCAGACCTCATGCACAACCCCCAACCACCCTGGGACCAATTTCCACTAGTACAGACACTAGCATAAGACAGCAAAGCTGCCGCCCCTGGCGTCCTAGGCTGTAAGTCCCTACAGAAACAGGAAGCGGCCGCTGGGTTTGAACCACCGCCTCCGTAGTTAGCAGCCAACCATGTATCCGCTTCTCTACCAGGGCTCCCCCTAAGATGTCCCTAGGTCCAGCGTGGGCCCCCTCAGAGCAGGTTATCAGGGGGGGCCCAGGCAGGTGATTTTCCCTCACCCAGACCCCTCACCCAGCACACCTGTGAGCGGCTGCAGCAGAACCTTGGAGACAGGGTCCCCCGAGTACAGCCCGTGCTCTAGGACCATCAGCTCTGTCAGGCTGGGCTTCGGGTTCTCACAGCCTGGATGGAAGGCAGGGAGGGGTCGGCTTTCCCAGCTCCTCCCCTTCCCCAGGCCCCGCCCCTCCATGGACCCCACTTTCTCTACTGAGATCCATGCCCCCGCCCACAGGCCCGCCTCACACCTGTGCCACACCTCACAACTGAGCTTTCCCTGGTCCCGCCCTCTCCAGGCCGCCCCACTCATGCCCCATCCCACCAGGAAGGCCAGCTCCACCCTCCCCATGTCCTGTCTCTAGGTCACACTGACTCCTCTTCATACTTCCCGGGCCTCGTCCCTCGCCACTAAATCTCAGATCCCGCCCCACGGCCTCACCAGCTCCAGTCACCCCACCCCTGACTCGCCCCCAAAGATCCCTGGCCTGGCTCTCTCGCGACTCGCGCAGCCCGCACCTGGCGTGCCCTCTATGCACATGGTGTGAGAGCGGCCTTCCGCGCTGCTCTTCCCGATGGCATAGCTGATGGTCATGCGGCTCTCCTGGACGTGCCCCCGCACCTGTCGGGCAGGTGAGGCACTCGCTGCTCAAGGGCCTAGCTCGGCGGCCAGTGGGGCAGCATAGAGCAGACGGGGGCGGGGCTGCGGCTCCCTCTTCCAGGAGGGCCTTACCAGTGCCAGGTAAGCCTTGGTGACCC